CTACGCCAGACTTTCATATTTCAATGAAACGCCAAGCAGAAACCACAGTTTTCAAAACATCGGCTCGATCCTTTTTAGAAATCAGATATAAACAGTGCGTCGCGTTCCAACCCCTTCAGACCTCGTACGTTGCATCGTACATCGCGTTTTACCTTAATCTTTGTCAAAATGTATTTTATGCGAAATGCGCGTCGTTATCAACGATACATCGAACAGCCGTGCCTCGATGTCGAGTCAATGGACAGAGTCTTCCGCGGAAATCGAGTCTGAAGGGGTTGAAACCACAATGAAAGCTATGAGACGATATGACCAGTAAGATTCGCGGTGAATTTTCACCTAGTTGACGAACGAAGCAGCTGAAATCGTACATCGCGAGTAAAACGAGGCGAACGTCAACTTTAAAAGGAGAAAAACGCGAGCACTTCGGGGAACGGTGGCGACTTTCAACGGTGCCGACTCATCGTCGAATAGAGTTCAGTAAAAACTAAGGAAAGTAAGAGTAAGAAAAACAGTGCTTCATTCGAGTTCGCACGTTGAAAATCGACTCGAGGACACCCCGCTTGTGCTCGTTTCCATTAGCATCTCTGCTTCGTTCGTCGATAACCGTCTCACGCGCGGATCTTCGATTGCACATAGAAATCATCGGTAACCGTAAGGTATCTCACTATAAAATTCTGACTAGAACCGAGAGATATTTCACTTTCCATTCGAAATCCACGTGGACTCCGAGACCAGAGTTTCTGGTCTGTTCTTCCGATTACAATTGGCAATTATCAACTGTGATTACAATCTGTGATCATCATCGATTACATTCAACTGTCATTCTATCTCTTATTATCTCACACGATGCCTTACCTATAGGGACTCTTGCTATCTCAATTTATAAATACCTATTTCTAATTATCACGTTCTCCACTTAGAACTATCACGTTCCCTATCTGTAATTATCATGTTCTCCATTTCTAAATATCACCTCCCCAATTTCTAACTATCAGGGCTATCGTATCGAACTATCACGTCCTTCATCTTTCGTTTATCACAAAGCTCGGCGTACTGACGTTAATCCATGCAGCTAACATCTCGGTGAAAAAATAAAAATCTCACGTTTATCCCGTAAACATGGCCCCGGGGCTGAGAAACAACGTCCCGCTGACTGTCTCTCTTTCTCCCTACTATGCTTGTAGGGAATATCGTGTAAAACAGTACAAAAATACCAAGTCGAGCGAGTCATTTTACTCAGCCCGTGAATCTATCGGAAGCTTCCGCTTCGTTCGATCGAATATACTTCGTTCGTATCAAAATCTACCATGTGACTCGATGTGCGCAGCATCGATTCTTATGTACAGCTAAGTATCAATTTTTACAAGTGTCCGAGGTATTTCAGATACTTTCCTCAGGTACACGATAAAGCTAATAGGAACTTCTACCGGAACAAAGCCTCATCTGAGAACAGCGAGTATCTTAAAATAATATCTCTGGAATACTGATATCCCTCAACTCTGTCGCCACATCTATCCTTCAACTAGACAGCCTAAAACCTGAGAGTAATACCTTGACTCGGAAGTCGTCGGAATTTCAACGTGAACTCTGAACACATGAATCCTCCGAGAATCTTCATCCTAACATTCAGCTCAACCGCGTTACATCTTGGAAATAGTGGTCTAGTTAACACACGTTGCACGCATCAAAATCCATCGTATTCGTAAACGAGACCTATACGAACAGTTAATCATTCAGTGCAACCGACTCGCATCTAACCAGGAATCGGTGAATAAAATAATTTAGTACGCGGACATTTTCGCGTTGCCTAGGAAGATTCGTTGTGCTCGACTGGTGTGAGAAGTATGCATATTGTAATTAGTAATTACAAACGCTGCATACTATAATAATCATAACATATTACAATATGTTAACTGACTACTTATAATAAATAATAACGGAATAAATAATTACATTACGAGTGATTGGCTGTCGCGACGTGCACGAAGAAGTGCAAGCTGTTCTCGCACGGCTCCTCGCACACTTTGCACGTGAAGGGATCCTCGTCTCCGTGGTAGCCCATGTGAACGGAGAACATCACAGAGTCTCCAAAAACGATTTCACAGAATGGGCAGTGGAACTCGATGCCGCCGGAGCCGAGTGCGTTTCCTTGACTAGCGCCAACGCTTTTCAGAGGCGAGGTGTTTCCCTGCATTCGTTTCTGTATTCTCGACTGCTGACTCCGTTGCATTTGCTGCGGCTGTCGCGGACACTCGAGGAATCCTGAATCGTTCAAGCACTGCTCCTCGTCGTCGGTGTCCTTCTGGAACACTCTGCGATCGAGCTTCACGGCTTTGCCCTTACGTCTGCTGGTCCCCTTCCCCTTCGACGACTTCGCGGCCGACTTCTTCTGTATATTGTTGTGTGTACTCGTCCTGCTGAGGTCAAGAGGGAACTCCTCGTCCTGATCGAGGAACGCAGGTTCCGACATTCCGTTCGGCTGGGGGTCGAAGGGGGACCTGTTGGACCTGACTACCAAGTCCTCCGGGAAGTCTTGCACGTCCATGTCGTCGTCCGTGTCTCCTGCGTAGTCCATCGACGACGGACGGTTGTACCGGTGCATGCGCATCTCCTCGACGAAGCTCTGTGCGGAGGCGAGCTGCGCCATAGCCAGCAGCTGGGAGTACGGCAGGATCATCATGGGCTGGTTCTGGAGCACCACGTTGAACGCGTTCGATGATCTTGCCGGGTATCCGTTCGATGGACCGGCGACGGGGTACGCGTTCGAGGGTCCCGGTACGGGACTGAACGCGTGGGACGGTCCCGGGACGGGGTTGAACGCGTTCGAAGGTCCCGCGGGACTGAACCCGTTCGATGGGCCGGCGACGGGATACGCGTTCGAAGGGCCTGGTACAGGACTGAACGTGTTGGACGATCCGGCGACGGGATGATACGCGTTCGACGGTCCCGCCGCGGGGCTGAACGCGTTGGACGATCCGGCGACAGGATGATGATAACCGTTCGAGGGTCCCGCTACAGGACTGAACGCGTTGGAGGGTCCTGCGACAGGATGGTACGCGTTCGAAGGCCCCGCGGGGCTGAACGCGTTGGACGGCCCTGCGATCGGGTGGAATCCGTTCGAATGTTCGGTCACCGGACTGAAGTTAGAGGGACCAGGTGCGTCCAAGGAATTCGATGGGCCGGGTCTCAGACTCAGACTGTTGAAACTGTTCAGAGGACTGCCGGCTCCGTTGAACATGTTCATGGAGTTGATCGGCGACAGCGAGGGGGACGAGACCGAGTGCGGCGGAGACGAGAGGTTGCGGCCATGTTTGTTCCGCCGCGGAGTCCTCGGGGGCCTCGGACTCCGCTGCTTCGGACCCCGCCGCGTCCCGTACACGTCGATGATCGGCAACGGGTTCGGCGAACCGTCCGCGTTCAACACCATCGCCGGATGGTGCACGTACTTGCGCAGGTGAAGCTTCAGCGAGTGGCAGTACTTCGTGGCGTACGAGCAGTCCGCGCAGCCATACTGGTAGACGTTGGAATGGGACTTCTTGTGGCTGTTCAACATCGACTTGTTCACGCAAGTGTACTCGCACTTGTCGCACTGGAACGGCTTTGAACCGAAATGGTTGCGAAGGTGGTACTCCAAGTGGTGCTTGTACTCCGTCACGAAAGGGCACTTCTGGCAGGTCAGTACTTTGCCTTCTTTGATGTGCGTGCGCGTGTGATTCCAGAATTCCAGCTTCGTCACCGCTATGTAGGGGCACTGCTTGCACTTGAACCTCTTCACTTTCCCCTGGTTGTTGATACGGGGCATCACCATTCCCGGCTCGTGCATGTCGTCGAACTGTATGCTCTCGTCCAGCGGGGCCACCTGCTCGAAGATCGACTTCACGAACTTCTGAGCGCCGGACTTTGTCGGGCAGTGTGTCACCAGGTGCTCCGTGAACACCAATCTGTGAGAGGGAATTATTGCTATTATAAATCGTACTCGCTTCTCGCGAGTGACAACGATACGACGCTATGAATTAACCTATTGCGGAATGTCGATAGTTTGAGATGAAGTTTTAGTATTTGGAAGACTAAGTCAATGATTCAATTAGTCAAACAGCTAGAGATCAGCGCGTAGTCTGTTCGTCGATTAATTGAGAGATCGATATAATTTTAGCTTCGTCTGCTGAAGGGTTCGTATTTTTCGAAGAACTTTCATCCGCGAAAGGTTGAAGATTGATGGAGATTGATTAAACAATTCACCTGCTCGTCGAGATGAAGGCGCAGATGGGACACTGCAGTTCTTCCTGGTTGTTCTGGATGGTTCTGCTGGTTCCCGGTGCCGCGGGGGGTGGGTTCGCCTGTTGTGTCTGTTGTTGCTCCGCCGCCGAATCCCGTTGCATAAACCCGAGTGGCGAACTACTATGCAACGTCCCCCCAGAATTGTAATCATATGGATTCGGCGGCGTGCTGTTAGAATCCTGCGAAGACGAGCTTCGAGGAGACAAACTGCTGCTGCGGCCAGATGCTGAAAGTCCACTCAACGGCGAGACGGAGTTGCTGGTGTAGTGGTCGGGTGACACTCCCGAATCATTGTTTCCATCGTCCATTGGCTCCTGCGACTGTAAAGTTGAAGGAAACTTAGAATTCACGCTTGCGACTCGGCGGAATGTCTATTGTTCCACGACACATCGATGGTACAACACTAATCGCAGGAATTAACCCTTTGCACTCGGGTGGTGACTCTCAGTCTTCAGATTCGACACATGAAAACTATAAAATCTGATATTTAACGCTTTGACTACCAAGTAATACCAAGCAATTTTCTTAATAAAGCAGAAACTAAAAGTCAAAATTCTTCGTAACGACTACTCTACTGTCTTTCTTATCTCACATATCCAACAGAATTCGGTTCATTCGAATGTTTAATTTTATGTAAAAAACGTTAAACATCTCTAGCGAGAAACTTTCCAGTGCAAAGGGTTAATAACAAAGCGTTCCTCCGGAGAGACAGCGAGCGGAAGTTTCCCGAGTCGCTGGAACCGAACGGAACGCGACATTTTGTCGATGAAGGAAGGGGATGGACGAGGGTGAGATCCCACTCGCGGGGAGATGAAAAGAAAAAACGAGGAGACAGCGGGAGCGCGCGAGGGTGACCGAGGGTGAGGTGCAAACGGAGCGAGAGGGTGAATAAGTTCAACGAGAGGGAGACGGCGGACGCGGATTCGATCGGAGGGGGGTTCGAGCGATTACTCACCGCGATTCCATCGGCGATAGCCCAAGCGGGCGTGGCTCTCCGCATGCGGCGGGAACGTCCCATCATCTCTTCGTCGGCGGACCGCTTGGTACGGCGCGTCGAGAGAGAGTTCGAGGTATTACTGCACTTTCCTGGCATTTTCGATCTTGGTTTCTCTGTAATAAAAAGCACAATTGTTATCCAACGATCCGTTGCAATTCCGAAGATTGTTTTTTAACGCTAGAACTACCGTACCAGTCAAAATGGTTTCGATTTTTTTGTTTAATCATTGATACCTTCGAATTGAATATTCGAAATGATTTGAAAAAATTTTGAATTGTGTATTAATCGTATTAAATGCTCGATAGTTCTAGTGTTAACATCGACAAGCACTATCCGAGGATCAACTGCAATTCGCGAGACTAATTAATTTTAAACAGACGCGAGACCATTGGCGAACTGGGTCCTTTAACCCTTTAACGCAGATGCTTTGAAATGTAGTCTTCAACGGATGAAGTTAAATTAAATATCTTAATTAATAGGGAACAAGGAAACTGCGCTCTCTAGCTGTAGAGTAATTAAATCATTTCTCTGCGTCTTCCAAATATAAACGCTTCATCCCTCCGAATGCTTGACGTTCGGCAGTAAAGGGTTGAGTCGTCCTCCATTCGTTTGTAACGAACAACAACCGTTAGCCGAACGGGTAATAAAACGTGCCTGCGACTCGCAAACGCCATTGAGGCCAGATGGGGAAAGCTCGAGGGTGACGGGTTGCAAAAATTTGAATAGCGCGAGCGGACAGGTGAAAAACTGCCGCGGCGCAGTAGGGGCGGAAAGGGTTTCGGCGTTTTACGGCGTTTGTGCGAATTTCCACGCAAGAAAGGTACGACTCCGACAAACAGGCCCCGAGTTTCCCCGCCCCAACCCCCGTATACCGTGTCCCGCAGGCAACGTACTACATTCTCGAGTGAATTCCCGGTAAAATCATTCGACAATGTTTGCCTACTACGCCCGACGTCCTTTCGCCTTGAACGCCCTACAAGAACAAATCGTTTCAGCGTGTTAGAATGGCCCGGCCAATTTATTCGAGCGCGGTAACGAATAGTGGGAATTGTTTCGCGCGACGCCATTCACGCGAACACGCTTCCATTCTGTATCGTTCGCACGGAAGATCGATTTTCGGTTGGACTCGTCGCTCTTCCATTACTGGATGGTAATTAAATAAGTAATATATAAGTTTAAGTAAATAAGTTTCTTCATCACTAATGATGTTTCGAATTTTCGACACTAGAACTGCCGAAGGATTTCTTTTTGCGATTATTAACAGCAAATGTTTCTCTGGAGTTACAAGGGGAATTGATTTGGCAATACGCAAATTGAATTGCAAATCAATTGAAAAAAGGTTTCGGTGGTTCTAGTGTTAACATATTACTCGGGTAATCTTTGATAATCTTTGAAATGTTACTATTTTTGACGTCCATCCCTCGAAGACAATGAAAATTCGCGAAGAAACGCGTTCTTTTAATCGTGCGATTTTTACAGCAAGACGAACGACGAGACCGGAGACCTCAAACCAATAACGACCACACGAAATTTATGGTGTACGGGTCCGGAGGACACCTCGGGATTGTTTCCGCGATTTACCGGTCGAGGTAAAACGACGGTTCCCGGGTTGAAGGGAAAAGGGTCTCTGCTCATTTATTCAAGTAGAGCACACGGTTTTAAAGGCCGTCGGCCGGCGACCGGGTTGGGAGATTCCGCTTTTGACTTCTCGGCGAAACCTCTTTGTCCGTTTACCCCGTGAGACGGCGGTCGTAAATAAAATTTCGAAGCAACTACGTCTGTTCCCGTCTGTGCCACGAGCGAGCCGGCGAATTGGTCCGAAAACAAACAACCCTTGTAAGAAACGAGGCGTCCCGCGCGGACGCCCCGAAAACTCGATTACCCCATAACCGCGAGCAAATCTGCTCGCCATATTTCTCGAGAGCTTTCTCTTTTTCCTTTCCCATCGATCACCCGACCCGTTCGACCCCTAAAAACTCGCGGCACGACCGCTTCCTCCCGTTATAACGCGAACGCGCGCTGGACGATCGCAAGCGCGCGGCACAGAAACGCTGCCGATCGTGCTTTATCCGGCGAAACTTCGAGTTTCGAGAACGGTGTCGCGAAATTCTTTCGATAGACGCGGCGACGAGCGATCCGGGAACCTCGCATTCCATAGTAAGGACGTTTACGAGTCGATTAAAGCATGCCTCCTTCTCTCGTCTCCGGCTGAACAAGGAGAAAAAAGACTTCAGCAAAGGTCAAAGCGAAGCCAGTCTTTCGAAATTCCAAGCACGATCACAACAACAGTAAATAGAAAAGTGGCGGGGCGAGGGGAGGAAACAGGCGGAAACAGTACCGAGAATCGCTGGTTCCGCGAACGCTCTGGAAAAAGCGAAAATGCGACTTGGGACGTGAAAAATCGCAGGGTCGTCGGGCTGGGCTGACTCGAGTCGACCGGAATTCGTATAAAAAACTGCGGGTTTGTCAACGATACCAATGTTACGATAAAAAATTGAAAAAACTCTTCCGAATCGATATTTTACCGATACTGCTTCGATTGTCTTAGATCGACAGCCTGTCCACGCTTCGATCCCACGTAATTTCTCGCAGCGATGAACTCGAGACTCGGCTGGGAATCGGCGAAGTCTTCGGCTCGTTACAACGCGTAAAAAAATTTGAAAACGGGTGCGAGCCACGGCGTGCGTCGTTCGCCAGGGCCACGTGCCGGCCGACGCAATGGCGAACGCGATATCGTCGTCCGCCGATCGCGAAACGCGAACCACCGAACACAGTTTCACGCGAGTCGACGAATCCACGGCGCGTTGCTCGTTTTCTCGTCACGGACATATTGAATTTCCTCGATGTTTGTTTCCCGGCGCGTTAACGCCGATACCTGGTCGACACTTTCCGAAACACGCGAAACTAAACATGGGCCGATACCGAGCACGTCTCTCGTCGGAGCTCGATGATTCTTGGGAACGCGTTCTCCCCGAAAACACGACTTTGTCGTTGCGAATAATCGCGTGTTGCCCTCGTCGACGCTACGCCGCCGCGTTCGCTGTTATTTTAACGGGCCGACAAATGAACGGCGCAAAAAAATGCACGATGCGAGAAAAATCGTCCCAGCCGATGGAACACGAGAACGCGCACGGTCGACGGGAAATGTATCTGGATCCCGCGTAAATCGCGGAGTTAGATTCGCGATTTATCGTAGAGATTCACCGTAGAAATTTTATCAAATAGATTAACACTAGAACTACCGAGCAGATCAGATTCCAAATGATTCGTCGCGATTATTGAAAGAACGTATACTATACTTCTGAATAATTCAATCGATAGATATACCAATTATCTTTAATATCCAAATTCGACGATCTAATCGCTCGGTGGTTCCAGTGCAAGATAAAAAGACAAGTACAAACCTGAAATTCTTTGTCCTCGGATTTCTCCAGCCACGAACGATGCCACGGTCCTCACAGCTGATCGTAGGTCTGGACGATTACCACACACAGGACACTGATACTTAAAGTCTGTTCATTGGCTACCGGATAATCAACTGGGTGGGTTGATTACACTATTGAATCACTGTTGCTAGGTTCTCTTACTAAAAAACCGAACCGAACGAAATCGAATGAAACTGAACTCAAGTAAATGTAACCCGACTGAACTCAACGAACTCAACGAAACCGAACTAAACTCAACTAAAACAGTAAAAAGATCGTTGATGCTTCGACCGTCACACTCGGGTGAATGCTCAGAGCCGACTGACAAGTCCCAAAGCCGGCTTGTCTATTTGTTTATGCAACGCGTTGGGGGCAACTACCCTCTCCATTCGGCCCCGAGCGGCTCGCAGCCAATCGGAGACGGGCCGTCGTCCCCGATTCATAGGCATTTTGAATACCCCTACCCCCGGGCCAAGCTGTCGACGTGGTTGCTGCGAATTCCATGCTTTACGGACTCTGCGAAACCCCCGTCTATCCCTGCGCTTACGGTACTCCCAGAGCCCCGGACTACGGCAACCCTTCTCCTCCGCTTTTTATTCCACCCCTGCGGACTCTCGCAGCCTGTAGGCGTTCCTAATTGTTTCTCCTCTCTTTATTACCTCTAGGAGTGTCCAGAACCTTCGATTTTTATACGCAGGGCGTTGCTTTCCTAATTATTTCCCGTCCCAGTCGTCCCAGCAATTTGCAGCTCAAAGCTTCGAACTTTCCGAAAATAGAGGTCGCTCGTTTTTCCTTTTGTCGTGTACCTATGGACATTATGAAACAAAAGACGTGTAACGATCTCTTATTCCTCGTCCACTTGGCTTCTCCGATTGCGACCTTCGATTCGATTAAATTCATGTACCCGTGAATATTCGAACAGAGAACTATGTAACTGAACATGAACTGTACACTGTACAATACGTTACTCACATGAAAGCTGACCTGTGACTCAAAAGTGACAAAGGGGTAAAAGGTCTCGCACGGTCCTCAGCTCGCGACTCGGCCAATGACAGAGATGTGCTGAAAGTAATGCCATTAATAGGGGTGAGCGCCATCAGTGGTTTCACAGCTCGCATCAGTGATAATTGTTCGCAATTAGATTCTACGATTGCAACCTTCGATTCCAGAATTCTAATGACAATACTTCTATCTTGATGCATGCAGTTTTACTAGTCATTTTCGTTACTCTCCGTTTCAAACAAAGAAACCTTTCGCGTTGTTAGTCCGACAGCGTCGTCATCGTTCGATATTCCAATGAGAAACAAGCATCCAGAGATTGAATACAGTTTATTAGTATAATCGGGTCGCAGGACCCGTTGACACCGGTTCGAATTTTTGGACGCCCGACGCTCCGAAGTTTACGCTTGCCATCGTAAGTCGAGGCGAAACACAAACAAAGAGTTCGAGATCCTCGGCCACTTAGCGGCGTACGCGCGCCCTTCGCGGCGAAATCGTTTAGCGTTTCACACGGGAATCTCCGATTTCGTATCCAGCTCTCCGCATTCAAATCTATTTCGTCGGAAGACACGAGCGATCTAATTAGCGTCGCTCGATATCCAGCCGGAAAGAGAAAACAGCGAGGAAACGCGTCGATACACGCGCGCTCCCTCTGCTTTTTCCGTCGGAGCGGTCTGCTTTCTCTCCGAGCGGACGGATCGCACCCTTTCTCAGCTCCGGAAAACATCCGACAACCGAGACCATTAGCCGAGATCCAAAATTACAGAAAACCCCATAGAAACGCTGCCAGGCTTCCCTCCGCGCTCGGCCTCCCCAGCGTTTTACGGGAGCGGAGGCGAGAAAACGAGGGTGGCACGAGGATCTCCCGCGAAATCGTGAACTCCGAAGCGCCTGTGACACTTCGATCGTCTATCGATCGAATTCGAATGATGAAACTCGTCCGCCAGCTGAGGAAACTAATGTTTACAGTGAAACTTTCATCGAGGTCTCGAAGAAACAACGGAGTTGAAAGGTGAACGGCTGAGATCGGTCGTCGGGTTTCGTTTCCCGTTTCATCGAGCGAGCTTCTTCGAGTTTGCCTCGTTTTTGGAGATTTCTATTGGTTACAGCTCGACGGTCAACGGGTTGAAGGGTTTCCCTGAGCTTTCCCGGGGACGAGCGACGCAGCTACGCCATGGGACACTGTAAATCGTCCTCGAATCCTTTCGTCGCTGGGGGCGGGGAGGAAAAACTCTCGAGGCCGTAAAGGCTTTATCAAAAAATCCCCCGTAACCCTTTCTCTCTAATCTCCTTTTCCGGTGAACGGGACGGTCCTCTTTCCCCCGTGTCCGCGTTTACGACGCTTTTACAGTTAAACTGTTACCGGTGCGAGGGAAAAAACACGGGCGGAAAAAGAGGTGACGGGGATACACGAGTCTCTAACTGTTCCCGGCGCGCTCAAGTTTTCTTCGCTCAACCCTTTCGTTTTTCTTGTTCGCAAAAAAACGGAGGAAAAGCGGGAAGGGGAGAGAAAGAACGAGCATCGGGGATACTTGCGATTTGCCACGTAGAACCGTGGTTGCGTGTAACAGGCCGGAAAAGTTGGGCTTCGGAGTCGTATACCTCTTGCAGCCTTCGAACCTTTTGTCACGCTAAGCTGGGCCATATCGGTAACTATTTCTCCTTTTTCAAATTAATGGAAGGTCCAGGAATGAAATCCATAATGCCGAGAATCATTCAATTGCACTGTTTCTCGTGTGTTGTACACGGATTACCCGTGAACCTTTTCGCCGCTGTCGTACCTTTTTTTCCCATTGTCCTCGCCGCCGTTCATAAACGTAACGCCGAGGAGCCGCGAAACAATTTCACTAATGAACCACCCTTGGCGATCAGCTACGGCAATAAATAAAAATAATTAGCTTCAACCACGTTTTCGTCCGGTCGGAACGAAGGCTCGGTGCTATTCAACCGGCCGGCCTATTCGAAAACCTCCACTACGACCTATATTTCACGAGATCCTGGAAATTTTCTATGACTTCCGTTAATCCTTTTTCACTTTTATTGTAGGTCGCCGGTTAATTTTCCGGGCCGTCCATGCCTGCCATAAACGGACATGTTTATTTTCCGACGAAAATAGCGAATCAACCGAAGCAGCAGTTGTTGTCAAGTTTATTTTTATAATTTTAGCTTCGGATCGTAGTGGTAATCATCGACGAGTGGAACCTTGAACACGTTTGTTTAATGTAATTTATGTATGTATTGTGATATGATGTTTATGAAAGGTGAAGCGATATTATATGAACATTGTTCGAGAAATGGAGATGGAATTTGCGAGAAAATTTGAATTTGAACTTAGTATTTTAGAGTCACATGTCTTAACTTTCGAGGGAAGCGTCCGATAGGAAAGTACTCGTTGGAGATTCTGAGGACTTCAGGGAAATTACTTGCAGTGATTAGGGTTTATCCTGCGCATGGATTAGTATACAAGATTAATAATGGACGGATGAAAGCATATAAAGGGATAAAAGTTGTGGGAGTGGCGACCTTCCTTACAAGATGTCCAGCATAAAAGGATTCTGCCATCCGAAATTACGATCTGTTTACTATTTCCCAAATAACACTAAGAAAACAAGATAATCCATTTTCGATTTTTCCAGTTCTTTCTTTCAAAGAAATCTATCAGTACAAGATTAAAAAATCACATCGGGGGAAACTGACTGAAGCATTCCTACGAAGAGAATTCGAGAAATGTTCTAGAGCGATTAGTGAAATCGTTAAACCGAGGCTCGCTGTTAGTAATCGAAGATAAAAGCGATTACCGAGTAACGTGAACGACGTAAACAAGCCTCGTTCGAAAAAGCTCGTTAGTTGAAAAAGTGTTCCGAGGGATCGAGTTCGTGAAGGAAATTCGAAAGGGAAAGAAAGTCAACGCTCCTTTCTCGTCCACTTTCCCACTAATTTAAGAACTGACTTTTCCAATATTATCATACAGTAAGATATTAATAACAAATTTTGTAACTTCAATATTGTTAACAACAGAGACTTTAAATATACAAAATTCCATTTACTATAGACCGGCGTTTTTTCAACCTGCGGTTAAGGACCGTATTAATGTAATTTCCGTATTGATGAATACCTGCATTTATTGGCGTACTAATCAATGCAGTGTAATAAAGTCAAGACAATAGGTCATTTCTGGAGAGAAACACATTGTGACAGGGTATAGGACTATCAATAATTCATATTCTCCTTTGCCGAATAAGGTAAGTAGAAATTATCCCTTTTCCAAAGAAAAGAAGTGGCCGGCTCTCTCACTCCGTTGGTCCATCCGGAAATGCGTTATGCCCATCGGTAACAGCACTAGGCTTGAGTAGGTTATTGTCTCGATAGGACTACGGTGACGACAATCCTGCGGGACCGACCCTTTCGTTTCCTTCCTTCTGTTGTTTCTATTTCGACCGACTTATTTTATTTCCGCTTAACGAAATTCAGCCCGCGAAAAGTTGACCCTGCGACAGAAATTCCTGGGATTAAATAATATGTTGTTGTCCCGGCAGATTTATGGCGCACCGGTACGACCGTTACCTGCCGCTATAACTCATTTGCCGGGGAAAAAATCGATCGGCAAGGATACACGGACAATTGGTTCTCGTTAGGAACAATAACTGTCCTTGCGTTATTAAAAATCGGATATTTCCGTACCGTAACACTGACGAGTGCAATAATTATGACATGTGATTACGGGAATCGCGTATCTCTCGTCTGTCGTACAGCACCATAGAAATAAAATAAATAAGAAGTGAAACAAAAATAATAGATTATAAACAACGAATAAACGAGATATCTCGTCGACATTTTGTCTACAAAAAAGCGGACGCTCTTTCACGCAGTCGTTTCGCTTAACCCTTAATGCACTTTTAATTGCCTCGGCGATGCGTAAGTGCGCTCTAACAAACAATGATTTCATCTTTCCACCGGAATTCCCTGTAACTGTCGAATTATTAACGCGCCGACTCATCGGCGAGCTATTTACCCGGCAAAAACGATAGAAATTTTGTAGAATGTAGCTACAGAAAACAATGATCGTCATTCTAGAAGTGGCGCGTGAAAGCGCAGAGTCTGTGGACACGGCTGAAAGGAGGACAAAAGTGTTTTTCGTACGGGGGCAAGGCTCGCTGACGAAAATTCGAATGAAAATACGAAATTCCGGCCATGCCGATTTTCCCGAGCGAAGGCGAACGATGGGGGAACAGACGCGTGTGCGTTATTGGGAGTACATTGTTGTTTATCCGCGATGACTGGCAGGGGCGGGGGTCGCGGGACACGTGCTCCT